TATCAACAGCGCTAAGGAACCGATGTCGTCAGAACCAGACTACTATAACCTCGGCTATACATACAGCGGTTGCACGCAGTCTCCTTGCGCATCTACCAGAGGAGTACACAAGACTAGAAGCAATCAGCGCCATGTCTTCTCGTCGGTGGCTGAAAGAAGAAGCAGGGATCACAGATCAATCCATGGGTGTCTGGGTCATGGATTTCAGGGAAAGTTTCTTTCGGAAGCAGATGAATCAGTATTCTTCTGGCAGCTTTCCGTGGGATGTCGCGAGGGCATCCTGCGCAACGATAAAACAGGTGCTCAGTCGCGAAGGCAAAGATACCAGTGTGGGCTTGCTAAAATATGCGGATATGTGGAGCTATATACAGAGTAAGATAGGTAAGGACCGAGATGGAAGCTTCAAGACATCGAATCTGGGGGTTGTGAAATCAGCCCAGGAAGGAGAGCCGTGGCCGCAGATTAGACGGATGATGTTCACCCAGCAGTTTGATGGGCCGGCTGCACCATTGGCCGTGTCTTCTATCACTGGGGGAGACGGCTGTTTGGTTCTAGGGATTATATGGCAGAAAGGCCTTGCAGAGTCAGAGATGTTCGAGCGTGTTGTTGATGGGATTGGCAGGGAGTTGCATAATGCTGCGAATTGATTAAGTTATGTCTTCATGAAGACTAGTCTGTGGAGGGTATCTTAGATTTAGCTCTGAAGCTGAAAGTATATTCACTACCTAGTAACCTAATGCAGCCGCTTAAATGCCTGACTCTCAGCTACTAGGACTCATTCAGGATATTGTATTTGAAGATATGTATAGATAAACTTGCCCTTTCTTGACGGCCATAGATAGACCTTGATTTGACTCATTACATAGACTCTCAAGAGATTATCAGTTCCTAGACTTCGTTGCTCCATTGGGTGCCTGCAGGTAGAATAAGATACCTCCAATAGGATCTTTGAACGACTCGAAAGCCAAACCCCCAAACACCCACCCACCTTTCCTTGGAGAAATAACGTTTTCCTGATATATTTCTGCCATCATGCCACTACAGTCTAGGGATTACTGTCTGACATGAACCAGAATTGCTAGAAACCTATATGCGCATACTTCAATATACACTAGAGAATTTTCGAATCATCGTCAATTATTACTAGTCTAATGTATACATACAGAATCAAAAGTGAAGAAACGAGGAAACAAACACATAAAGATAACAAAAAAGAAAACAATGTTCTAAGACAGCAAGTGATCCATCACGTACAGAACACATTCTTCCGTCCCGCAGGCTCATTCTAACCGTCTACCTGCGACGGTTACTGAATCAGAAAGCATCAAATTAATGAGTGACAAATCTATAATAATGAGTGACTGGTGTATTGAGCAGATCAGGCGCCCTTGGCGCCCTTAACAGGCCCGGTCTTCGAACCGTCCATGTTAGTGTTCAGAGCCTTGATCAGCCGAACGCCTGCGTCCGCTGTCTCATTGGGAGCCCATGACCAGAAGCGACCACCGCGGCCCATTTCATGGTGATGTCCGGGGTGCAGGAAGTCTTCCTTAGTACCAGGGACATCAGTGGACGAGGAGAAAACGCTGACCCGGTCCTGGAACCGGACTCGCGGTTTAGCCCGAGGCGATACCCGGCCCGACGTGGCTTCCAAGAAGCGCTTGCGCATAGCGTAGCGCTTCGATTCCTCGCGACGGAGAGAGATGAAGCTAATTCTTTCAAGTCCGCTTCTCACGATGAAGCGAACACCTACGTAGGCCCATTCGGCAAGGAGGAGAGTGAGAAGGAGGGACGACATGTTAACCTCCTGGAGTCCAGCGCGGTAAAGGTACACGATGGCGGCGGTGGACAGGGTACCGAGCCAGCTGAGCACTTCCAGACCCATGAGAGATGGTCCGATCGAGTCAGCTCGGATGGGGGGAGGCCTTTGACACTCCAAGCTCAATTTAAAGAAATCGCCTCGCAGTTCCAGCCAGTTGTTAGCGAGGAAACCCAGGGAGACCAAGGGCCATGCAACTCCAAAGAGAGCAAGAGAGCCAAACTGCACGCACATCTCCAGAATATCTTCATGAACATCGTACTCATCCGCGTCGATTTCGTCACGGACACGCGAGAGGAAACCAGCTTCTTCCGGAGCATCGACTAGGAGTTGATCGGTCCTCTGAGAGTAGCCACGAGGACGCGAAGAGTCCCGACCTTCGCGCCAGTCACGCCACTTGTGCATCAGGGTTTGCTTGACATAGGGAAGCACAATTTCCTCGCCGAAGTTGAGGATCTGAGCGGTCGCAGAGAGATAGATCACTTCCTGTTGCAGTCGGGAGGTGTCGATGTGAATTTCACGGGCAAGGTTGGCGGAAAGGAGACCGTAAGAGCGAAGAGTGTCAAGATAGGGCACTATCTTGCTTCCAAACGGGACGTATACAAATGCGGTCAGTAGCGTGGGCAAAAAGGCCGTAATAAAGTGCATCACGAATGTCTTGGCTGTCTGTGCAAGATCGTATTGATCCTGCGTGCGGTAGTTCTCGTAGTCGGTCAAACGCTTCGCGAAATCCGTCAAAATATTGGTTATGGAGGGCAAGGAGAGCGAAAACAGAACGGTCGGCAGAAACTCCAAGTATGCCTTCATTGGGCCATTGTACACTTCTGACACCAAGATTTCCAGAGCAAATGATAGGATGATCAAGCTACCCAATGCCAAGCTTGCAACGGTCGCAAAGGGAATCATCAGGAGCTGTCGAGCGAATTGCCGATGAGCCGAAAATACGCGAATGGTCTCGCCGGTGTGCGGATTTTGAAATTCTTTGTCCCAAACCCATTCTGGTCGGTTCACTTTGAGGAATCCTACGTCCTTGACGTTCCAGCGCAAGCTCAGGTCGAGCTCGCGGGTTTTCCAGTACTCGACGAACACGATGCCCCAGATGCAAGTCACTATCGCACATGTAATCGAATAGGGGCCCAGGTAGAACCAAGAGAAGACGCCCCAGACAGCCGGGAAAATTAGAAAACAGGAATAGCAGTGGATAAAGGCAAAGTAGAAAGCAACCTGAGATGTTAGTATATTTACAGAGCCAAAGAGACCCAACTAAGTTTCTAATGGTGCTCACCTTCTCGCCAAATAACGCGCGAATAGCGTCAAGATCCTCAGCCGTCAAGAAAATAGTCCGGCTCCATTTCCGGAGCAGCTCCGCGTTGGCGGAGCGGTCATGCAGAGGGATAGCCGCCGTGATATTCTTCCATTGGCCCACCTTGGGGGTAATTCCAGCGCCTCCAAGATGCTTTTGCCACGTCACCGCATGGTAAACAGATCTGAGGGCCTCCGCAGGAGTGTCGGCGTCAGTCTCGCCCTCGTCTCCGCCCTCAGGAAATTCGTGGATGATTCCATGAAGCCAGTCCTTGACACTATATGTCGTTAGCTTTCCCGACCATGCACCATTTGTTGTTACCGATCATCCGTACCGAGATTTGTGTACCAGGTTGCCCAACAGATCGGGCGGAACCCGAATGCAGACGAGTAGGGAGGCGCCGTAGCCATGACGGACTTGTACCTGGAGATGCGCTTCTTGAAGGTCGTGGATTAAAGTTCGAAACTCCTGGATCGCCTGGGAGAGCTCTGGATGGGAAGAAGACGGTGTGAGATCGGGCGTCAGCCGGATGGAATTGGGAGGAATGATTGCTTACCGACATCCTCGAACGAATAGTGGATGACCCAATCGACGCCGAAATTATCCAGTTCGGCCTGGTCGAGGGCTCCGTGTCCAGCAAAGAGACCCATCCTGGATCAACTGACGAAAGGAAGGACAGGAAGATTCACAGAAGGGGGTGAAAGGGGGAAAGAAAAAGCAAAGAATACCAGATCAGATTTGAGCGATTGATAACGAACGAGATAGCCTCATCTCCGCGGGGACTCACGGATGCATCCGAGCTCGGTGGGATGGGGAAGGGAGGGGGAAAGCCGATGGGGAACTGAAGAGAAGGGGAGAGAAAAGGGAAGGAAAAGAGAAGGATTGCAAGGGATAGAACGGATGACGCTCGCCTGATTGATTGCGATGGGAAGAACTATTTTCTTTTACGGCGTAGCGTGAGATTTTCCACAGCGGCATTCTGATTATTAATGGATATTAATTAGTTATGTGTCCATCCAGGCGGGATGATATCTGTTGTTCAGCGTACTACTCATGATACAACGAATTTCACGATGCCCCATCCCTTCGACTGGCCAGCTTGCCTTTGATTTACCCGAGGGCCGTGCCAAGTCCGCCTCAGCCCTACAGGGCGACACGACCATTGGTTCGCTGCGGTGGCTCTAGCCGTATTAGCAATCCAGCTGTTACACCGTCTGTTCTTTTTGAAATCTTCAACAGCTGATACCAGTAATACCGAAGTTATATCCGTGGTTTGGTGCTGGATTTCTGACGAAATCCCCCGCGTCCAAGACAGGGGAAGAACGAGGGGCTTTAATTAAACTGCGATGCTTATTGAAATATTAAAAATCAGTCACAGGCGCGATCATTCCCTCGCATATTACTTACTTGATTTCATCTAGATAGTTTCCTCTAGTTAGAGATTATAAGCATGCTATTGTAAGCATCTCAAGCAACCTGCGCACCGTACATGAAATACTGCTGCCTGACCCAGACAATCCTTGCTTCTTGCGTCACCCGGTAATGATTGGTCTTCGAATGCCCGTTCAATTTTAGCAGCGACTCGGCTGAAAGCGGAATGGTTGATGTGGGCCCTTAGCGGGGCGCTAAGACATCAGCCAATGATGGTACTCCACTGCGCCCAATAATGAAGCAAATCCCTGCAGGCATCCATTTTTGGCTGGTAATGAACGGGTTACCAACCAACAGCTTACCATGTAACTTACCGTGCTGGTACCTCAAGTTTGCCTTTTCCAGACGCCAAAAGCAACCTCATGGACCAGGCACCGAGCTATTGGCAGAACTTCAAATGGCTCGAATTTCCCCCGTCAACCTCCCAGGCCCCAGTCTCTGTCTGGCAGTAACGAGTCAACCCATCTAGACTACAGCCGCAAAACCGACTCGCGTGATCTAGCTAGGTCCCCGCAATAATAAAGTCAGAGATAACGGCCTGCCCACTGCGCAGCGCGCTCCACTCCAGCCAGCTTCACTGCAGCATCACTCATCATTCCGTGAGCTCCGGCCAAGGATCCAGCCTCTATCTGCCACTTCATTAAACCTACGATATAAATATCACATCAAAAGACCCTGATCGTCCTGTTTCTTTGTCCACTAGTCCTTACTAGACGGATCTTCGACCACTAGCGTGGAATATCACCCTTTTCTATCCCATGGAATCGATGCTTGCTTCGACTGTTGATCTCATGGCTCGTCGTTTCTTCCCAGGACATAGCGCCGCTTTGGGCCTGAGTCTGTTCCTCTTTCTGTTTATGTTCCTTCCGACGCTCGTGGTCTTGCTAGCTGTCGTGGTATTCTTCCTGTTCTACTATCCTCGTCTTCAGAAGCCGTCGTCGCATGATCGTTAGCATCTGTTTTGGAAGCAGACGCTTGGTATGTATACTACAATAGTCATGAGATTGTCGATGCTGATCATGTTTTAGTACAATATAATATATGGAATACGGAGTTTACGACATGATACCACCGGGTTTGACAACGTTGTTTATATATCATGTATTATTATGTGGCATGATATACACCACGAGAGATTCTACCTTCTTACGTTAATCCTATTTTTCTTAACTACAGAAAGCGTTTTCTTAATAGTTGGTCATAGTATATAAATACTACTATGAAACCCATGAACAGTTTAAGCTGCGATGCCTTCATTGCTTCGGAACTGACAGTCGGGGGCAGTATAAGACTATGTGGATCAGATATATTAAGCATATGTCAGCCCCTGACAACTGCCTAATCTAACGAAACCAGTGGCAAGATTAGTTACTGTAATATAGTAACATCTGTAAGGCTTTCTCACAAGAACTACTAGTCATTTCATCCCGACAGGGGTGCAATCCAGTAGTAACAATCAGCCTATCCAACATTCTATACCCAGACTAGCGTCAACCTTATCACTATTAGCATACCAGCTTTCATGGTCTGGACTTGCCTGCCTAGCTCACCCTCTACCTAACTCCCTTGCCCCTATACTACTTCCCTGTTCTTCTCTCCCTACTCAATAATAAGTTAGTATGTGCACAATACTGTAAAACGAAGTAAATTGTCATCGCCGAGATCTTTCTCCTTACTATATATACATATAATAGTTTGAGTGAGTCGAACTATATACCAACAGTCCGGTCAACACCTCACTGAGAGTAGACCACACCGATTGTTCCTAAAACGAGCAGCATATCAAGTGCAGCAAATCTTAAAAGTAGAATAAGTACATCAGCCCACAATTCCCATGCTCACCCTCAAATCAAAGCATGACGTGTGAAGGCGGTGTACCTCAGTTTACACCTCGGATCTCAAGTTCACCCCACCATTCGGAATTCCGTCGCTCCCTCACTCAAACACCCAACTCCCCACCAACTATACAGACCTCGCAACCCAAAACAGGCGGAACAGCTTCCTCCAAACAAGAAGAACTACCAAGATTGCATCAACTCAAAACCCCACCGTGACTTCAACAAACCAACTCACCCACCGACAATGTGCCTATACACCACCGCGGAGTTCAACTTCGGAACTCCGACCACGGGAGCGGGGATGACAGCATAGGTGGGGACTCATCCATATAAATATTCCCATGGGCACCAGCAATTGCCATTCAACATTACCTCACAAAGAACATAAAGAAACAATTTCATCTTCATTAACCCTCAAACCAGTAACCACATACATACATACACCCAACCAACAATGACAACCTACACAACCGACCACGCCCCCGCGGTCCTCCAAACCCACGGCTGGCGCACCCTCAGCAACTCCGTCCCCTACATCCTCCCCTACCTCAAACCCAACATGACCATCCTCGACATCGGCTGCGGCCCAGGGAGCATCACAATTGACTTCGCGCGACACGTACCCTCAGGCCACGTAACCGGCGTCGAATACGTCCCAGACCCACTGGAGCAAGCACGCACGCTCGCCTCCTCGCAAGGCATCACAAACATCACCTTCCAAGTAGCAGACATCCACGCCCTCCCGTTCCCCGACAACACCTTCGACCTGGTGCACGTGCATCAAGTGCTCCAACACATCGCGGACCCTGTGCTCGCGCTGCGCGAAATGCGCCGCGTGGCTAAACCCAACGGGGGGATTATCGCGGCCCGCGAATCCAGTGCGATGACTTGGTATCCTGAGAATAAGGCGATTGAGCTGTGGTTGGATATTACGACGAAGATGGCGAGGGAGAGAGGTGGGAATCCGCACCCTGGGTCGAGGATTCATGTGTGGGCGGAAGAGGCGGGGTTTGTGCAGGAGAGGATTAAGAAGACGGCGGGGTCGTGGTGCTTTAGTAGTCCGGAGGAACGGAGGTATTGGGGGGGTTCGATGGCCGGGAGGGCGGCGAATTCGGGGTTTGCGACGCAGGCGCTGGAGGGGGGGTATGCGAGTAAGGAGCAGTTGGAGGCGGTTGTGAGGGGGTGGGAGGAGTTTGTCGAGTGTGAGAGGGCTTGGTTTGGGTTGTTGCATGGGGAGATAGTTGCTTGGAAGTAGGGGTACATTCAATTGTAGTTTTTGTTGTATTGCTGTTTGTGGGGGACTTTGGTACAGTGTATATAGTATGTGATGAGGAGTTGGAGGGTTAATATATGTCGAACAATAACAATATTATTTATAGTAGCTACTATAATACTATCCGAGTATTCCCTTAAAACAGTTCGTTGTTCGTTGTGTGGAGCGTACTTTTATCATTAATGCGTTTTAATAAGTACCAGACATACTATGATGATATTATATCGGCAGAAAGTATAGTGAATTATCAGTAGAGCGAGTGCCTCAACGCCAAGGCGACAAAGACCTTCAACTACAAGTTGATTGAGTGTCATGTCAAGACACACAACTACGCGCCAGAAATAATTTTGTGTCAAATCTATTCCTTGAACAAGGTATGAGTTAAATGCATAATAGATACAGCTAAACAATCCCGAAAGCTATGCGAATAGAAGTTGTTTATCAACAAACAGAAACAGGTATGCCGCATCTACCATCCATCCTCCTCGTAATCATATGCAGGCTCCTCTCCACGCTCAATGATAGTAGTCTCGCGCTCGTAGACGACAGGCGGCCGGTCATAGTCATACGACTGTTCTTCACGCTCCTCTTCTTCCTTTTCTTCCTCGTGCTCGTCTGTTGTTCTCGTTAGTATGCAGTTAAACCTTGACCATGGATGTGGTCAAGGTTGAGGGAAAAGGGGACGTACGAATCTCGTGGGAAATGAATGCAGCGCCGAGAGCACCAACAGCCAGACCAGCTGCGCCACCCATAAGCATGTTCTTACGGTCCTTCTTCTTCTGCTCCTCCTCAGAGATCTGCTGGGCCTGGGGGTCGGGGTAGTACCCGCCCTCCTGCGGCGGAGGGGGGCTTGCGTAGTAGCCCGGACCACCGGCCGGGGGAGGACCAGGGGGAGGCATGTCGCGGGACATGTCAGCGGGGAGCTCCCATTCTGTGCGGCCGGAAGGCATGTGGACGTAGTAGGCGCGGCGGAGGCTGGGCTCCCACTCCTGGGCCCATTCCATGGGAAGAGGAGGGGGAGGGACGGGAGGAGGACGAGCGGAAGGAGGAGGGCTGGCGTAGGGAGGACGGGGAGCGGGAGAGTCGAAGCCGCGCTCGCCACCTTCGTAGGGAGGACGAGGAGCAGGGGAGTCGTATCCGCGCTCGCCGCCTTCGTAGGGAGGCCGGTCACCGTATGGGGGACGGTCGTAGGGAGGGCGCTCCGGCGGGGGAGGACCGGAGTTGTATCTCTCTGGAGGGGGGCGCTCATAGGAAGGGCGGTCGTAAGGAGAACCCTCGTAACGAGGACGGTCATAAGGGGGCCGCTCCGGGGGAGGACCACCCTCGTAGGGAGGACGGTCGTATGGCGGACGCTCGTATGGAGGGCGTCCGCCGTAGTAGGGTTCTTGTGGTGGGGGGTAGTAAGACATGGTGGTTGTGGAAGGATTAGGAAGTTAGGAGAGGGAAGTAAGAAAGATGAGAGGGAAGAAGAGAATAAGGGAAGGATGAAAGACCCTTAAATATTTAAAGCGGCTCTGGAGACCCTGTCAGGTGGAGGGGGGAAGTTTGGACTTTGGACACGGATGCATCATTGGGAGGGGCCCCCTCTTCGACTTCACCCTGCCACTGGCGCGTAAGTAACAGTTAGGCCGGGATTAACGGCTCCCAGGGATTGGAACTCAGCCCAGCGGGACCCAGACAGGCGCTAAGAGTAAGGAGAAGGGCTCCCCACTGGGTTATTAGCTGGGATGGAGAAGCGTCAATAGTCGGGTGGATGAGTGGTGACTGGGAGGCTGTAGATCTGGCAGTCTGGAGATGCACAACGGGATTAGGCAGAGACGTAAACAATGGACGGTATCATGGCCCCTGAAGGGTGTGGTGGATCCCGGGATCAACCGGGAGTCTAGATTGAAACGCATTTTCTATTCACAAATACCAAAAGATGGACTGGACACAGTGGCTGGACGGGTTGTACCCTGGTGAAGGCATGATGATGGATGATTGTACAATGGCAGTAAACCAGCTGCAGAGAGGCAGCAAGATGCGTCAGATGGAGGGGCGTTGATGCCTAGCAGACTTAGCTAATAGTTCGCTCTTAGCCATGCAATGCAGTCAGTCACTCATGAAATTGAAACCAACCAAATCGAATCAATGCTAAGAATAATTCTCCGTCTGACTTGTTCCTCCGACCCTCCCCTTTTCGGTTTCTTGGCGCCACACAGGGCTGGTGATGTGGAACTGGTCTTCCCAGCCAATCGGAATACATACTGACCCTTCAGCCACAGCTTCAGCCCCACTGCGTATCATTCCCGTATCATCGATCATCATCCGGCGGGTTATGTCTTCCCCGTTGGGTAGGGTTCCAGAAGGCGGGCTGTTCAACCGGGTGAGCATAGCCACCTTAAAAGTGAGATTTACATTGGATAACTGCATGGTGCGAAAGAAGAGAATATTGCCTCCAAGCGAGCCTCCCTAAGCGAAATGCAGCAACGGCGCAAAAGCAAATTAGTACTGTAGTAGCCGCTGTATCTGGAACGTCCATTGATTACGCCAAGACTAGCCCCTCCGATAGCCCCCTGACCGAAGCAGCCACGTGTGTCTTACCGAGTGGCTGTACATCCACTGTTAGACTTAGTGGTACACCGTAATAATGACAGGCTCAGCCACATCTATCGCTGTGCATTCCAGATGCAGTCATCGTTGTCGGACCTGTCTTGACAACACTGTGCCAAGAGCGTACTTACCGACGGATTACATGAGAAGAAAAAATCAGTGCCTCGTTGCCTACAGTTAGATCCTGCGCCATGTCGAGAGGATGCGCGGAGAAAGTACTACTCCTGCGCCAGGAAATCGACTCGGCTTGGCAGGCGATGTATTAGATATTGTTGCATCGGAGCGGGATTTAAGGGTATCAAATGGTCGTACTATTGCCGCAGAAAATCCCGCAATCCCTGAGAAAGATCATCTCCGAGAAGTGGTACTTTGCATTCTGAATTGTCTAGACTAAACCAGGCAGCATTATTGGCAATCTCGTTTAATGTAACCATCCTCCTCGCCCACCATCTAACATAAACCCGCCGTCTTCTTCCCATGTCTCCGAACCCACCCCCCGTAATTCACTAACCCCCTCTACTCCACCACCACTGTGCAGTCGGGTGTTAAAACACCCGGTGCTATGACATAGGTCTTGATGAACCCCTGGCAGCCGCTTATCCTCCAGCAGTGCCAAGATCGCTGGACTGTCCACTGCCAGGATAATAAAACGCAGCAACACTAGAAGCCGCCTGTTAGCCACCGAATAAACGTGACCATGGAAAGAGTTGAACTTACCCTATGATCACATAGGCTGCAATGAGCAAAGACCCTTCTAAATAGTTGCTTCGGCCATCCAAGACCAGGAAGTTGACAACAAAGGCCGTGACAAACAGACAGATGGTCTCGAATAGCGTGAAGTACAAGGACATGTCCTTGTCCATACACCAACCCAGGATGACCACCAGTGGCGTAACAAAGATAGCTGTGACGAATGAGCCCCTACTCCCAGAGGAAAAAAAACAATAAGAACATACCAATTTGGATACTACTTCCTACCGATACACCGATTGCCAGGTCCATCTTGTTCTTGGTGGCCACACTGACAGCGGTCACGTGCTCGGCGGCGTTGCCAACAATAGGAAGGATGATCAGACCGATGAAGGCTTCACTGACAGACGAGCTCTCGATCATGGTGGGGATAGCGTCGACGAGGAACTCCGCACACACTGCGACAAGACCGGTCGACACCAGAAGCATCACCACCGCTGCGGTGCGAGACATTTCGGGTTCGGGCTGCTCGGGAACCGCTTCAGTTGGGTTGTTGGCCACGGCCGTAGGCATGCGAGAAGCACCCCGGGCAAACTGAACGGCATTGCCTGGAGGTGGTGGGCGATTGGTGAAAGAGGGTAAAGAATGCGTGCGTCGGAGGCCATAGGGATTCGAGGGACTGGCGGGAACTGCTGAGTTGGGGGCGGCCAAGTTACTCGAGAAAACCGTGTTGCTCAACAGAGATGGAATGGTTGGACGGAAGGGCGATCGCCTTTTGGCGGGTTCAGTTGCTTCTCCAACCTCCGCCGTAGGCTGAGGGTGATCAAAGGCGGGTTCTGTCTGGGATGTTTTCATGGATGGGCGGCCGGTCACAGTTGTGCCCTTCACAGAAGCGGCGGTATTGTCCTTTTCGGCACGACGCTGCTTCCGGCGTTCACGCCTTTTCGCCTTTCGATCCTCCTTGGAGGCTTTGTCCTGTGGTTGTCCAAAGTCCCGGGTCTGAGGTTCATGATCGGCATCGTATCGGCTGTCATCTCCAAAATCGATGACAAACGAGCCAGACCCGTCGGCTTGAGTAACACTCAGGTCACCCGCAGAACCAGCATGCTCATCTATAACGGCTGCAGGAGGAATATCGGCCGAGGACTTCTTACGGAATGACTGGGGAGAAACCGTGCCATGCGAGCTGGTGCTCGACTTGCGATGACGCCTATGTTTCATGGCTCTCTTTATACGCTTGGCGGTGGACCAGGAGGTTGTCGTATCCACAGACTCATCCGATGAACTGCTCGAGTCTGACGAACTGTTCATGAATTCAGCCAGAACACCGGGGTGAGATTCCTCATCAATAATCTGTTGTGGGATACTGGCGTATAGGTAGGCGTGGGATTTGAGCTGGAATATGATGTACAAAACGTACACCAGGAGCAAGACCTGATCGGAGAATTAAACAAGGTATGATATGATTCGCAGTTGATACTACTTACAACACTTGTTCCACGGCTGACTTTGAGCGTGTATTTATCTGCATCTCCAGCGTCCGACCAAGAAGCGTGGAACGCCGTCTGGATACGTTAGTAAGTATAGGGTAAACCGAAAGGATGCGCAGACATACTGGCAAGAGCAAACTCATGACACTCAAACTGAGAAGACATGCACTCATCTGCGTGACAGTGCTATTATAGATCTGGCACATGTTAGTTTGACGAATGCGTACAGCTTATGTTGCTGGCAGATTTACCTGTTCCTGGAAGCGCAAGCCTCCCAAGAGGAAGGCCATACCCAAGATCAGCAGTAGGTTTGCTAAGATGGATCCCAGCAGGGATGCTTGGACGATCCGAATCTCATTCTGGACAGAGTTAGAGCGATCCTCAAGTCTGTTGCAGAACCAGTTGACTCACCTTGACTAGGGCAATACTGAACGAATCCGCTGTGATTAGTATTTGTGTGTGCACATGCTCTTATAAGCAACAACTTACATGCTACCGAAACGTTAGCAACAGTCAGGGGTGAATGGGTGGGATTGGGAACATACAAGATGATCAACTCTACTGCATTTCCAAAGGTGACGTTGATGAGTGCACCCACAGTGTCACCCAATCGACTAGCGACACACTCGGTGGCATGGCTGAGCAGACCGGCCAAGGGGATGATAGCTATCGCATTCATGGCAAAGACCAGGCCTGGATTGAGTCCAGCGGCCTGGACCGCAATGCCGACAGGGACGAAGACGAGCAGCACATTGACCCAGCTGTGGCACAGGGCGCGTTTGGTGTGTCCGGTGAAGCGAACAATTCCATCCTTCATCCGGACGAACAGTGGGCGCTCAGTGGTTTGATTGGCATCTTTTTCCGACTCCGGGCTGGCCGGGTCACGTATACCTTCTTTCACTTGAGCATCTTGAGCCGAAGCGTCCTCAGAGGACTGGGTGTTGGACTGGTTTTGACCCTGGGAATTATTCGGGGTAGACGCGTGAGCTTTCGCCCACGAGTGAATCCGGTCTGCATAGCAAAGAGATAGAATGTTAGTCAGGGGGGTCAAGATAGATACAATCATCGATGAGATGTCAAATGAAATCGTCGAGGAGGGCCTCTAGTGGGCCAGGGAAGGGATGGCGATGGGAGGCAGATAGGGAGAGGCACTCACGCATGTATTTCAGAGCCAGGAACGGAAAGGATCAGATAGAGAAGGCAAGAGGGGCCCTCGATAAGACGTGTGTGATAAACTGGTGAAGAGGAAGCTGTGTCAAACACAGGAACTGAAGAAGCAAGCCAAGCTTCAGGAAGGAGAATATAGATAGGAAAAGAGGGTCCCTGGAAGTAACCTGCGCGACCGGACTATTATAAGGGAATGGAGAAGTCAACCTTTCTGGGACGGGGGGGGGGAGCCCTGTGGCATGGAAGCAGGACCAATGATGCTTGCCAAGACAGCAGGATGATCATCCTGATCCTGACCTTATTCCGAACTGGAGCCATGGTCCGCCCCGTTTCGCAGCAGTCGAGTCGCAGTGAATTGCCGTCGCCTCGACACGCAGCTTGTCTCCACCTTACACCTTATCAATCATGGCCAACAGTTGCTCTAACATCCTATCACATCATTCTAGATACCTACTCGTACTAGTACTCCAAGTACCGCTGAGGTCATTTCCTCCTGTAGTATTTCCGACCAGAGCTCGGAGAACTGAATTCCAATGGTGTCATCGGCTATTTTTCAATTTCGGACTCGGAGATGTCAGCGATCACGGGCGGGACTTCTCCGTTTGTCAGTCGACAGAAGAAGCAGAAAAGTTGAATACTAATGATGAATCAGATAGCTACTATTATTCTTGGGCCGCCCGATGGGATGGAGGTCTCCACCCCTGGGCCGCGAATCCATAGGGGCAAATCTCAATTTATCTCACCCTTTCCAGAATCCGTCCATGAGATGCACACCTACGACATCAACAGTGGGGCCAGCGAAACTAGGGTTGAAAGGAGTCAACAGCGGTTAGTTACAAGAATTACAAGACTGGATTATTCGATATAGCTCTATTTCAGGTGCCGTGGCTTGCAGAGGTAAGGGGATAAGATGCCCCGTTACGCAACGGATAGAACAGAACACAGACACACAGAACAATGACTGAAAGTTGTGAATTCCATAACCCCGACCGAGAATTTAGGCCAGAACGGGCTGGCTTGGAAGTGATTTGCCAAGTCCACCTGTCTTTCTCAACAAATAAAACTCTTCCCCCAAATCTTCTCCCCGAGAGACCCTCCAATCAGACCTGCTGATTTCCTGCGCCTGCCCCGAAGCCCCCTAGTGGCTCGTTCTTGATTGGTCGGCACTACGTCAGGAGTCAGCCTCGTTTCGGTAGCATTTCTCCGGATTCCGGTATCCCATACCCGTACTTTACAGGGGAGCCAACAGCTTTGGGTAACGCGTCACATGAGCTTGTCCCTGCAAAGGTTCAATGAGCTTTCGTCAGCGTCAGAATCTCTCCGGAATGTTGACATGTCTTCTCGTCGCTCAACACGTATTCATGGTACACAGTACTTTCAGTATCTCTCTCAAACGTCCACCTTGGCCATTCAGCGCGGTTCCTTAAAATCCGCTGACTCACGATCTAGACCATGGACTCGTCATCCCCAACCGTCTCCACAGCAGTGTGGCTGAGCGAGAAGTTATGGCTGTGCCGTGGACCGTTGTGATGGAACTGCCATCGACGCATTGAGTTCATATTGACGGTGCCTTCGGACAGATTCCATCCTATCATTGAAGTTTCAGATCACTGTCGCTTATTGCGTTTCCGGCTTGGCATCTGTAAATGGAATGAGAACCAGACAACTCTGGCCTTCTTCATTGTTTCTCAACAAAGTATATCTGGATATTCTGGATGCGATGAGATCATGACGGCCCAGCGCGCCTCGTAACCCCGCAACAGCGTCCGATTTGGAAGATGCATGTCCAGATGCCAGTGCATCTGACCGTCTTGGCCAGTGGGTAGAAGCACAAAGAATAGTAACCACGACTAGAGTACATATGCGGGGTGATGTCCTAGCGTACGCTGGTACCTTTACAGGCATGATGTGTCCGTCCACTCGTCATCATGTCGCGCTGGATTTAACTTCAGCCAACCACTCGAGCACCTGTTCCATTCATTGCGAACTGACTCAAAGCGTAGAACACGAGTCATCCTATGGTAAAAGCATCATTTATCCTCTCCGAAAGCCTACAGCGACAAGCTATGTATTGGTCACGTGATTGAATGCGGAGGGATGTGACGGCAAAGGTTTCATCCGCTCGCATTATCGTCCGCTTCCTATTCTTTCCTCTACGCAATACTGGCTCGTCGGGGAGTTACATTAAGACCAGTAAAATATGTTAGAGACCTTATCTTACTGCTAAGACTCGGATCCCGATAAGATGGGAAATGATAATCTTCATCCGCAAGGTTGCTACTCGCCCAAAAGACTAGATCATCTCCTACGCATACAACGTATCATGGCATCGCCTGATACTGCCAATCAGCCATCCTGACCAGGTAGAGGACACCACAAAGAAGCCCCGCCTGCTATTCCTCTAACTATGTCAGCCATATACCTCAATAAAGAGCTATCTGATGGCCGAAATCCCCAGCCGATATTGCTGCGGACGCCCCGTGCAGAAGAAACCTTCTTCTATCGGCATTTGGCTCGGCACGCGTCACGAGATCCAGGCACGGCAACCCGACCCGGATGCAACCGTCACTCAGCCCGGCTCGATCGAAGATCTTTCGGCGAGCTAAGAGGATCAGAAGAATGAAATCTCTTCACTTAAATCTACAGCCTTTATTTAATCAGCCCATATGCGGACATACGCAGTATCCTGCTTCCCGTAACCTTAGCTGTACGAATACAGCCGTCAATGCGCAATGGCTCCATCAAGGAGCGCTGGCGGGGGTAGAATGGCCAGGCTGCTGAGGTAGGCAACTGTCGCAGTCTCTGTGTAGTTGGGATGAACTAAAACTTTTCAACAGTATTCTAAATCCCTTGACATGGAGACAGCGGCTCGACTTGGACACTCGGTCCTTCCTTATCATGCTGAAGGGCGCTTTGCCACCGACAATTGTGATAGCGATGTAGGTCATATTACGTATCAATCTCTCGAATTAGTGTAGCTGATATCTAGCAGTTACCAGAGTAGTGCTATATCCGACATCACCCTCACAATCGGATATCTATCAGCTCTTATTTCGGTCCTGTCTCAAGCACTGACACCGCGGGCCAAGTTCATGCGTATCATGTTTTATGATCTATTGTCAACATGTGTATCAGCTTCTCTTTGTTGCTTAGCTATATTCTGCGCCGTACGAGCGAGACAACATAATACCCCTCCAGATGCTAGCGAGGCCGTCCGGAATGGCTTCAGTAGCGATGCCTGTGCCGTGTCCGCTATATGGCTGATATTCATGATTTGGTATGTCCGATTTCTACTTCAATAGCATTTTCAGATTCACTGAACCTATGCAGGGCCGCAAATACCATCCGTGCTTGGCGCCCGCAGGAGCTGCAGGACCCTATGGTAGCTTTCTCGATCTTTTCTTCTGTCACTATCACTCGCGGTGGCATGTTCACCACACTATCCGAGGGTCTTTCATTCGTCTCTAGACTGTTAAAGGGGTTTATGCTGGGGTTTGCCATTGCCACCGGGGTCTCCCTCCTTATACTACCAATCACTAGCCGCGGACATGTCTTCGACGATATCAGGGGTTACATCGCGCAGATCGATAATGTACTCCAGTCCCAAATCGATTTTGTTAAGGGAACGTCAGAGGTGTGGACCGGAAGCCAAGGGCTTCTGAAGAGGACGCGCACGGCACGAAGTATGCGAGATATGCAAAACAGCTCCAGTTTGAATCTAGAAGCAAAGCAGAAGGGCTTGACAGCATCAATCACCAAATTGAACGGGTTACACGGGAAGCTACAGTCAGACCTGCTCTATTCAAAAGACGAAATTGCATGGGGCAAACTATCAGCAGGCGACCTAAGTAGGATTGGAGGGTTGCTGCGAAGTGTTTTGCTGCCCCTTTCGGGAATGGCTATGCTGCCTGAGGTGTTGGACATGATTGTCAGGAACGAAGGAACGCGCAACAACAGTGTGAGATCACTCGACGCCAAGGAGGATTCTGTGAAACAATCCGAGATGCAGAAGGTAGCCCAAGCGCTTCAAGACCGCCTTGTGGACTCTTCCAGGTTGGCGACAGTTGGATTACAATATGTCTTGCTGGCACTTGGGCTATCTAAGCGCAAGAAGATTGAGAAACAATACTCAGGAAAAGCAGATGAAGAAGGGACCGGGGAGCTACTCACACCACTAGAGCCACAATTCGCACAGCGATATGAACAAGAAATGCGAAACTACTTCTCACGCCGCAAGGACCTCACAAGAAACCTTGCCTCCCTTGAGGCGTTTACGGTCTCAGAGAAGCCGGATGATGCCACCTCCCAGGAGGACCTGGCAGCCATTGCGACAGACCCTGACGTCAAGCAGGAGTTCTTTCTCATCCTCTTCATGGGACATCTGCAGGACAACCTACTGACCGCGACTCTGGACTTGATCCGTTTCGCGGATGACCGAATCCAGGATGGTACTATGAAGCGCAGCAGACTGATTCTCCCCAGACTCAACACCATTCGTAAATGGCTCTCCCTTAGTACTGACCACGACATCAAGTCTGCTCCGGATCGGAGACAATCATCTCATGTCGATCCAGCTGCCCTTTGCCAGACCGAAGCGAACAACTTCCCAGATCCTGAGCACCTGCCCCCATCCAACTGGTTTGAGAAAGGCAGCCTGGGGCTTCGCTACTTATCGCACATTATTAGTTCCGAGCAAAGTATTTTTGGCTTCCGCGTTGCTGCCGCTGCATTTTCGGTTGGTATTCTGGCATACCTGCGTAAGACACAGGACTTTTTCATCCACCAAAGATGCATCTGGGCCATGATTGTCATTGTGATCGGAATGAACCCGACCAGCGGACAGACAATGTTCGGCTTCGTTGCACGCATTGTCGCAACAGCCGTCTCGTTAGTTCTGAGTTTGATCGTCTGGTATATTGTGGATGAGAAGACCCCAGGCGTCATAGTATTCCTCTACCTCGCCAACGTCTTCGAGGTAAGCCTGCATCCTCTACATACCAGC